ATTCGCCGCAAATAATTCATCGCAAAAATTCGTTGCAAAATTCGTCGCAAATTAGCCACGAACTTTATTCGTCGCAAAATTCGTTGCAAAATTCGTCGCAAAATTCGACGCAAATTAGCCACAAACTTTATTCGTCGCAAAATCCGTCGCAAAATTATCCACGAACTTTATTCGTCGCAAAATTTATTGCAAAATTCGTCGCAAAATTCGTTGCAACAAAATAGGCACGGACTTGATTCGTCGCTACTTATTCGTCGCAAATTAGCCATGACTTGTAATGGTCGCAAAATTCGTCTCTAAATATTCGTCGCAAATTTTACATCATTTCGGCCATCAAAACTTGTCCATATCAATAGCTACGCATTAATGAACATCATGTAATACATTCAAAGCAATCAAAGGACACGAGAAAACCATAGATTCCGCTTTAGAAACAGAAAACGAACAAACCAGACACAATGCCATATAATTGAAAAATATAACTGAAGGAAAGATGCTAGTCTGCCAAAAAATAATGATATATGCAAAGTTGCAAAGTCTGACATGATGATATTTGATATCCAATCTTATAATACATTCAAAACATTCATAAGAGGCGGGACAACCATAGATTCTACTTAAAAAACGAAAAATCGACAAACCAGACACAAGATTGGGCAGCTGTGGTACTCGGCAGGACACCAAAAGCAGTCACTTTTGTCCACACCTGATGAAATGTGGATACATAAATAAAGATATTCAATCAGTCCATAATATAAAAGAAGTGTTTATGCATGAATATGGAACTAGGTATAAAAAAACAAGTAAGGGTTAACAAAAAAACGTTTCAAGACGAACATCAATGTTCTTACATATGAATATGAGTCAACTTTGACATCCACTGTACTTTTTTCACCCTTGTAAACCGTATTCCTGTAACCTAGGAAAAATTAGATCCTTGTCAAAACATCATTGCAATAGTTTAATGACTTAGAGAGGTGAATTACCAACACCAATTCCCAGGAAGAGAGGACTCAAAGTCAATTAAGGCATGTATTTCTACAATGTTCAAATCTCATGATTTTTTTTAACAAGCATGCGATCCTGGGATCTCTAAATTTTCAGTTTTTCGCAAGCAAAGAACCTTGTTGTAAGAAAGTTGTGCACAAAAAGTAATTGTAGGACAGGAACATATTAGGTGAAACTGCACTTATGTCATAAAAGATTGTGAAGCAAGCTTACCCCCGATTTTGGCAATTTTAACTAGAAAGGACCGAGAAAATCATCATCATCATCATCAATCTCAGCATCATTGTGTTGCTCATCATTGTGCCCATCACCTGTTGGATTGGCGGGAGGTACAGGAGGAACCTCACCGCGATTGATGTTGAGGTGTCGCATAACGATTTGCATTTGTTGTTTCAAGTCATTTATTTCTTCGTCCCTCTCTACAATTATATTTTTCAGTTGATTCACTTCTTGGGTCAATTGCTCGTCATGTCGTGTCCTCCTTCGACCAGTCGCATTGGATGATGAAGTTCCAGCATGATTCGGCATGTACATCCTTGACAAGGATCCCATCCCAAATATTTTTCCTTTTTTCATCCCACCGTTGCCACCACCCATAATGCCATAGTGTCAACTGATGGCTCAGACGCAGCACAACCATCACTACCACTAGCATTGCCCATTAAAAGTTCATCATATTTTTCCTACATTAACAATATAGATGAAAATAAAATAACTTCAAATATATATCTACCATAAATATTAAAAGCATTCACGGTTTTCATTCTAGTTTCCATAAAGCCCAAAGTATAACCTTACATACCTTAACAGATTTTGCTCGATCGCCAATCCATGTCTTATCTTTCTTTTGAAACGTGCGTTCAAATGTAGCTGCAAATGTCGGTTCCGTCCCCAATTCTTGTGCATACAAAATGTAAACATGAGTAATTGAATTAAATTAACTTATAACTTATTTAACAGACTTACCAGTCGTTTGCGATGCTCCCCAATGTTGATACAGCCCCAAGCATATGTGGCAGACCCTTCATTAGAACTAGAAGAGCGATTCTTTTTATTCAGCTCACTGATTTGCTCACTCCTTTCAGTTTCCCAAATTCTGTTAATTTCCGTCAAATTGTTATCTGTAATGAAAGCCGGCTTCACTTTCTTGATCTTCGCTCTATTCATCACATTTCGTATAAAATCACTGACTTTCTTCTGAAAAATTCTTCTCACTTCATTCTCTTCCTCTTGAGCCCACCTGAACTTCCGCTGCAATCAATACAAGAAAAACTGAAAGTTATTATGATGGTCACATATCTATTACCATGCACCAGACAATTCGGCGATAGACTTTGTTAAGTTCATCTCGGGAAAAATATCTGGTCCCTTTAGTACCGAAAACTAAAGAATTGTTCTGGTCCCTTTAAATCATTCTTGACCATCAATATACTACACCGAACTTAGTTGGTGAGAAAATAGAATATCTAAAACTTACCTTGAACTCATTCCACCACAAATCTTTCACTTCTTGTGGAACACTTCTGTAATTAATATACTGCCCCATCCAATAGTTTTTGACTATTTTATTCAGTTCCCTCACAACAAACGGAGCATCCGTGAATCTGCAAACATACGGATATTGTGCAACATCGACAATTCAGTTGACATCTATATCTAAAGCCATAAATATTACATATACTAAAAAAAAATGAAGTACTTACGAATCTCCAAATGGGCATATCATGAATCGTTGATCTTCTTCACCTGTGTTTCCGTCATTATGCGAATGTTGCGCTGAATAATAAGGAGGAACGGAAGGAGAGGGAGCCAAAGGAGATGGAACTGGAGGAGATTCAGTTGGCATGTGGCCAAGTCCCATTACATGTTCTTGAGCGTTGGAGGAAGGACCAACGTGTCCATATTGTCCATCAGTATATTGTGGTTGAGGGTTTGATGAAAGGACAGGAGACGAGGAAAGGGCCGGGGACGAGGACGTTGAAGAGGCTGGTCTTCTATGCATGTGACCTCCACGTTTATACTGACAAGTAGGAAGGTTAGACAAATATGTAAAAAAAATATGAACACGTATTACGGACACATAATGCGTACATGACGAAGCTTACCATTTTGGTTCAGAAGCAGAAAATGTTCCCTCTTAATTAGCCAATGCCGAGTGTTTATGACGGGCAATTTCCTACGAACAAATATACTATGAATCGCACTCATTTTGATATCAAACATCAATATATGAGCACGATATGCCATGCTAAGCCGACATTAGCCATAATTAACAACACGATCCACTTTCAAACCACACGATAATTCATCAAGTACAAGAACAACCATGAAACATCAATTTCAGCGACATGATCTTCGTTCTCGGCCACACGATCATCAATCAAAGTGGCTGGCCACAGGATTATAAGCCATTAATTTTTGCGGGCATCTAAAAAAATTTAAATTTCACTCAAAGTGGGTGGCCACAGGTATTCTAAGCCATTATGTAAAGTTTTGAAATTTAGTTATTTCTTTATTTTTTAATTTTTTGGGGCACCTAAAAAAAGGTAAATTTCACTAAAACTGGGTGGCCATAGGTATTATAAGCCATTCAGTGAAGTTTTCAAATATTTGATTTTTTTAATTTTTTTGTTCGGGCACCTACAAAAATTTAAATTTCATTCAAAGTGGGTGGCCAAAAGTATTCTAAGCCATTCTGTGAAGTTTTGTAATAAAATTAATTTTATTATTTTTAAAATATTTTGGGCACCTAAAAAAATTAAAATTTCACTAAAAGTGGGTGGCCACGAGTATTCTAAGCCATTCTGCAAAGTTTTGAAATTTTTTTTTATTTTTTAATTTTTTTGGCCACGTAAAAAAATTAAAATTTCACTAAAACTGGGTGGCCATAGGTATTATAAGCCATTCTGTGAAGTTTTGAAATTTTTAAAATATTTAATTTTTTTTTGGCCACCTAAAAAAATTTATTTTTCACTCAAAGTGGATGGCCACATGTATTCTAAGCCATTCTGCGAAGTTTTGAAATTTTTTATTTTATTATTATTTTTACATTTTTTGTGCACCTAAAAAAATTACAATTTCTCTCAAATGGGTGGCCACAGGTATTTTAAGCCATTTTATAAAATTTTGAAAATTTTAAATTTTTTATTATTATTCTTTTTTTGGGCACCTAAAAAAATTTAAATTTCACTCAAAATGGGTGGCCACAGTTATTTTTTGCCATTTTGTGATATTTTGAAATTTTGGTTTTTTTAATTTTTTTTAAAAAAATTCAACAAATTTAATATTTTCCAAAAATATGACGGGATTTAAATTTGCACGAAATTTTTCTGAATTTTTCTACACTTGTTCAATTTTAATGCATTTTTTGAATAAACGCTTAATCAACCACCCGATCATCATTGAACGCTTAATCGGCGATATAATGGACAAATTAACCAGTCGAACATCGATCAAAGCAAACATACAATCCTGAAATCGACTCCTAACTTAGTCAACCAATCAGACATTAAACAATCCCTAAACAAATCCGATTAATACTCATTATAGTAGGTAGGGTTTAGGGAGTTGCTTACTTGGTTCAAGGCCAAGAAAAACCAAACAATAATTATATTTTGGCCGGTCGGCCAGCGGCGAGCTCGGCGCGGGCGTGGGCCCAAGTGTTGGGCCCAAGTGTTGGCTAGTCGGCCAGGCGATCGGCCACGGCCGGGAGAACGACGTTGGAGCTGGGCGGCGACGGCGTCGGCCGCGGAGCCGGGAGGCGGCTGGGCATTGGGCGGGCGGCGGCGGCGCCTCGGGCGGTGGTCGGGGGACGACAGCCGAGCGGCCGCGAGGCGGGCGGCGAGGCCGGGCGCGATGCCCGGGCTGGCGGGCTGGCGGTGACGGTTGGGCGGGTGGGCGGCGACGGCGAGCTTAGCGAGGCCGGGCCGCGACGGCCCCGAGCGGCTCAGCGGCGGGCGGGTGAGGCCGGCGGCGGCGACGGCCGGGCGGTGATGGTTGGCGGCGGGGCGGGCGGCGACGGCCCGAGCGGCTGCGAGGCGGGCGGGTGAGGCACGCGGCGAGCCGGGCGGCGGCGAGCTCCGCCAGGTGAGCAGCGACCCCACGCGCGGGCAGGCGACGACGGGGACGGCGGCGACGGCGACGGGGCGACGACTGAGAGTTGCAGGGCGAGCAGGCGACGACGGCGACGGCGGTCCACGGCACTCGGCGAAGACAACGGGAAGAAGAAGAAGAAGAAGAAGAAGAAGAAGAAGAAGAGGAGGAGGAGTCCGTGACTGTTGTCGCGACCTCCCCGAACCGGCCCCGCCGCCTAAAGTGTTTGGCTAATGGATTACTAAGTTAAACCTAGCTCGAGCTCTCCCAAGCTCATACTAATTCGCGACTTAAGTTGAAGTTGTTAACATGCAAATCAATTTTATCTAGGAGTCGCCACTAATCGGTTTTTGGTGGGTCGATTAGACACCCAAGTGAAGCACGGGAGAAATGCTTCACTTCTACGAACCAGAGATTCAATGGGTACGGGGACTTGATTACACTAATTGACTAATTAGTGTCCTTTCGGTACCTAATCTTGTTCAATTCACCACCTAACATGTTCACACTAACTGGGAGACTAAAAAATTCATTCCTAACCAAGCTAAGGGAAATAACAATCACTACGTGAACCTAACGTGCATAATCAACTACATACGAGGTTAAATTAAACGCGCCATTCAAAGTATGTGAACCAAGCAATGTGCGATCGAATATGGCACTAATCACACAATAGGGCCAGAAAAATCAATTCCAAAGTCGAAATAAATTTTCTGATTTTTCGAAATTTTTTTTTGAATTTTTTTGAATTTTTTTTTGAAAAAATTTTAAAAAATCAAAATTTTTTTTAAAAAAAATAATAATAAAATAGCATAAAACAGACCGGGTCGGATCTTCACATCCGACCCGGATAAAATATATATGTTTAAAAAAATAAAAAGTTTTTTTTAAAAAAAATGTTAAAAATATATATATATATATTAAAATAATAAAATAATATAAAACGAATCCGGGTCGGATATCCACATCCGACCCGGATCGGGACTGACCCGGGCCCGCCGGCCCGGGTCCACGACCGGATCGGGTTCATTCGTTGAGCCCGGTCTGGCAAATTAAAAGAAAGAAAAAAGGGCCCAGCCCGAATTTTTTTATTTAAAAAAAAATAAAGGCCCAAAGCCCACTAAAAATAAAAAGGCAAAACAAGACAATTAAGCCCAAACCCTAACACAAACCAACCCGGTTTCGACCCACGAACCCGAATCACCGAAACCCTACCCTAACAGCCTCTGTTGAAGGGCCTTACGGGCATGAATTGCCTTACCATCTGACGTATGAGTTATAATTTTGCTAGTGCATTTTTCGTACTTGATGGTGAGAGAACAATAATGCATGAAGCATACCATTAGTGATGAGTGAAACTGCATGGATTTTGACCCTTCTCAATTTAAAAGAATACATTCCGACTCTGATGACTTGTCCAAAGTTGGGAAGTATCTTTAGTTCGTTCAGTTCGATTCCATTGGTAAAAGTCTGCTGATTTGAATTTTCACCATCATGACAAAGGCGTGTTCTTACTTGAGTTATTTTCTCTGGTAGATATGAAAACCTCATCCTGGTGGCTGGAGGCATTGGGATATCCCCCTTTTTGGCTATCTTGAGTGATATACTTCATCTTACAAAGCAAGGAAAACCATGCGTACCCAAGAATATATTAGTCATTTGGGCCATCAAAAAATCAGATGAGCTCCCTATACTTTTCACTCTCGATGCAGAGTCGATCTGCCCTCACTTTTCTGAGAAACTAAATCTCCAAGTCTGTGTTTATGTCACACGGGAATCTGATCCTCCTCTGGTAACTTTCATTTGTGTCTTTGAAATACAACTTGCCTCAAATCACTGAGATCAGTTAACTTCTCTGCTATTGCTGTTCAATTTTAAATCATGCAGAACTGAGTATATTATTATAATGCAGGAAGAAGGTAAATTTTACAAGGGCATTAGCTCTTCCATGTCTCCTCCATCCAAGGGTAGCTGCATGTCTGTTCTAGTTGGCACTGGAAACCGGGTGTGGTCTGGGGTTTATGTCATCCTGTCCGTGGTCGGCTTTGCCATATTGTTGGCCCTGCTGGACATCTTCTACATAAACCCTATGAACATAGTCTCATGGTGGTACAAAGGCCTCTTGCTTGTAGGATGCATGTTTTCCAGTATGATCATATTTGGAGGCCCTGTCATCTATCTATGGCGTGTCTGGGAAAAAAGAATTCTAGATGTGGAAGAATCTGCAGATGCCAGGAAGGATGAAGCGTTGCAGCACAGTGCCAGTGTTTATATAACGCAGGAAAACTTAGTCCCAAAAGACCGTGCTGTTGCGAGGAGAATGTATTATGGCACTAGACCAAACTTTGAAGGTACTCTTTGCCATGTCATTCAGTAAATGATAGTCTTTACTTGTTTTAAGTTGAGTGACCTCACTAACTGAAGAACCGGGTAGTTGTTGGTGTTATGCGGGAACAATGTGGATCTTATGCATTGATTTCTTTGTGCGACTCTGCGCAGAAATTTTTACATCTGAGTCCGAGCGCTGGGGCAATGTTGACATTGGCGTAATCGTGTGTGGTCCTGAGACTCTTCAGTCGAGTGTTGCCAGAGAATGCAGGTCGCAGAACTTAAGGAGGGGGTCACTTCGGCCGGTCTTCCATTTCAACAGCCATAGTTTCGATCTGTAGCTACTTTACTATCGCTCATCACTCGTGTCTGTACCAAACTCGAAAGATCCAATTGGGAGCATTGATAAGCCTACACTACTGATGCAATATACTGTGAATACAATCCTTATCATATAGGATCAGATATCGTTGTAATGTCAAATAAGGCAGTATTCTGTCACCTAGGTAGATGAGTAGTGTGCTCTGGATCTAATATGTGAGGCACACACAGTTGTATATTGGTGGACATTATTACAGTAATGTACTGATTACATGTAAAAATGCTTTTAGCCTATGTAAATTCAGCTTCAAAGGACATGTCCAGCTAAATCTGGCACATTCTGATGAATGCATTTGAACATGTTTAGCTAAATCTGGCACATTCTGATAAATTCATTTGAACGGTCGATCATTTACTGTTGGCAGTGTAGTCTTCAATGGCAATGCCAATCAAGATGCGCCGTCTTTTTCGTAAAAAAGAACTTGTTTCCGATACTGTTTGTCAATTGTCATGAGAGGGCTTCGCGGTCCATTCTTCCACCGTCTACCCCATCCTGAGCCAAGCGAGTCATAAGAAGTTTTGCTGCAACGAGGAGCAAAAGCTGCACGTATCTCAATTTGATCATTCGCTTTGTCATATGATTGACATCGTCGGTGACGCTGAAACTACAACCTCCAGGAATAGAAGAGTCACCCCGTTCGCTTTTTGCCCAATTGTAGGGACGATGACCGAAAGTATTTGTTCCACCCAGCACGAATTTGGGGTCACAAGAGCATTGTGGAGTAGACATAAAACGTGACCATAGGGCAGGTTGCTTGGACACAGGGCCAAAGGAACCAACTGCATGAACAGATTAATCATAAGTTGCAAGAGGATGTTGGATTTTGAACAGTCCCATCACAAATGGGAGGCCTGACCAGGGGAAGAGAAAAGAACACACGAAAGGATTCACTAATTGGGGGTATGATTTCACAAGTGGGATTTAGTTTATTTCGGAAAATTATGACATTGATATACACAAGACATCTCCTAATTTCAGGAAGCCGAAAACCTTTTCACTATTTGGGTGTATGATTTCTGAAAACTTTGGTTAAGACAATACATTTAAGATGTTTATATAACTTCACCAATGTGAATTTTAGATCGTTAATATGCTCAATGACCTTTGTTAGGTTAATATAGTCGTTCCTACTGAAAAGGAGAACAGCGTGCAACAACTAAATCCTTCTCTGAAGCTCAAAAGGTCGTCGTCCTACTAAAATCGATTAGCCACGGGGGATTGCCAATCGCCCGATGCCGCCTGCAAGCTAGGGACGGACATCACCTTATTATAGATAATGGCTGACAAAACCTGTCCCGAGAAATAGCCATTAGGGATGGTGTTGCCATCTAGAACCCAATGGGAAATTTTTCCCTTTCTTTTTGCCCAAAAATTAGGACACCCTAGGCCTAGGGCTGTAAACGGTTCGGTTCGATTTTCTTGAAAAACCGAACCGAACCGAACCGAACCATTAAGGGTGCCTCCTTGAACCGAACCAAATAGGAACCGAACCGATAAGCCGATTTGGTTTTCGGTTTCTTCTTCTTTTTTGCTTTTTTATTCATGGCTCGGTTTTCTGTTTTTATGAAAAAAATTTCATGATAATTTTTTTATGATAATTTTTTTAAAATCCCTACGTCGGCAAAACAAAAAAAAAAAGAAACATTGTTAAGATTTCCGGATAAAAAAGGCTTAACCCAAAAAAAAATAGAAAATTTCAGGAATTAAACAGATTAAAAAATAATAACAATAATAATAACAGTAATAATCGAATAATATAAAAAAATGCAACCGCACCACAAAATGACATTTTTTTTCATTCTCGGTGAATTCCACCCGCAGAAAATTCACAAAAAGAGAAAAAAAAATAGAAAAAAAAATTAGAGAAAGAACACGACGCACACAGACACACACACCCCTCTCTTTCTCTCTCTTCTTCTCTCCGAAAGGCCAAACTCGACCCCCAAATCCTCTCTCTCTCTCTCTCTCTCTCTCTCTCTCTCTCTCGATCTTCTTCTTCTTCTTCTTACCAACGCGCTCTCAGCTTCTTCGACCGCCGCATCCGCAGATTGAGCCGCCGTCCGCCGCCGATCGATTCGGAAACCCTCCCCGCCGGAGCGATCGCCGCCGCCGCCGCGTCAGCCATTTCGAGCCTTTTTTTCCCTGCGTAATTTATCATTTTTTTTGGGAGATTTTTTTCAGGGAGTTTCTTCGGGGGGGAGTTTCTTGGAGAGCCATGGATGCTGATTCATGGGGTTTGATGATTTGGGGGGTTTTCCGCGTTTAGGGTTCGAGAGAGATGAGTGTCGTCACCGGCAGCGGCGGCGGCGGCGGCGGCGGCAGGGGCGGCAATGGCAAGGTCGAGGCTTGGGACTCGAGCGAGTCGATGGGGAGGAAGAAGAAGAAGAGCAGGGACAGCGGCGAGAGAAAGAGTGTGGAGGGCCGTGAGGATGGTCTCGGCGAGAGGAAGAGTGTTTATTTCAGTTCGGTTCGATCCGAACTGATCCGAACCGAACTGAAATAAACCGAACCGAAAAAAAAAAATTGGTTAATTTTGATGATCCGAACTGAAACCGAAACCGAATCGAAATGCACGAAATTTTCGGTTCGGTTCGGTTCGGTTCGGTCTCGGTTCGGTTTTCCGGTTCGGTTCTGACACCCCTATTTAGGCCTGATCTTTTTTCTTTTTTTTTTTAGACAATGACACTAATGATTCCTAAACTTTGGTCAAATGTGTAATGATGGTCCCTAAACTTTTAATTTGTTCAATACGATTCGTGAACTTTAATCCAATGTACAATTCTGGCCCATGAACTTTTAATTTGTTCAATGTGGTCCCTGAATTTTTCATGCATGTTCAATTTAGTCCATGGATTATATGAAAATGTCCAATATTGTCCTTGATTTGGAATTAACGGAAGTACAACGTCAAATATTTTCATACAATTCAAAGACCATATTAAATAAATTAAAAATCTAAGAATCGCACTAATCAATTACACATCGAGCTAAAGTTTATGGATCATATTAAATAAATTAAAATTTTATGTGTCATATTATAATAAATGGATCGGTAGTTCATCTCCTTAGTCTCTTCAATTTCTGGCAGGCCTATAATTTGGAACTTGAAGCAGAAATTGCGAGACTGAAAAAAATAAATCAGGAACTACTTAGAAAACAGGTAATTCACCCAACCTGAGATGCTGTCGTAGGGAAACTGCAGTTCATTATTTTCTTTTCTCCCCTTGATGACAAATATTTTCTATTCTTACAGGCTGAAGTCAAGGAAATGCAGAAGGATCGGGTATGTCTAGCTTCCACTTCTACTCCTCATCTGAACCTATTGCTTCTATCATGACCAAGCAAATAAGCAAATAAGACATTTGAAATCGTGCTCAAGCAAGATGCACAAATATTTCTCTTCTTTTCATGAGCATCAAATCTCTTATTCATGCAAGTTAGTAATTGCTTGAATCCTTGAGATATTGTTAAACCTGGTAGGTTTGAAGCGGCAACTCGGCCGATCAGGACCTGCACATATATAGCATCTTTCTACTTCGTAAATGGGTGTTGTCGTCTGATAATTTGTTGCATGGCTCCATACTCTGTTTATGCCTGCCGATCGTTAAACTATCTGGATCATCTTCACGCAACAGAAACTGAGAAACTTTACATGTGCAAGACAACGCAAGCTAACTTACTGAATTGTTTGGTTCCAGAGGACTTGCCAGGAGCGCAAGTGCCATGGGTCCTGGGTGTATCCCTCGATAATTAATTAATAAATGATGAGTGTATCATTCGTCATAAAGATTATGTGGTGAATCCGCCATACACTTAGATTCGGGGCCAAAAATTTGGTGTACCAGAGTCCTCAAGAAAATTCAGTTCAACAATCTGCATTGATGAACTTATCCCCATTGCATATCTTTTGTGGTAATAGAACTTCAGTGAAGCATTCATAATCCATAAACTTGAGGCTACTAGTCCGCTTGCTTTGCGGTGGAGAGCCTGATGATCACCTTCTGATATGTTGTGAACAGATCTCACAGAAGGTGAATGGACTGGACTGGGAAAATAAGAGGCAGTGCTGCTTGAGGAGGGCGCTGACAGGTCCGTGGTAGATTTGATGGATCGGACAGCATATGTTGGCTTTGAACCGATTGCTGGAGTGTGGCATTGCATCTTTACTGTGCATCGTTGCCGTAGTTGGCGGTCTTATTCCAATCTTGTGTCACAAGGGATGCGTATTACTTGTAATAAGATCAAAGCCACTTGATTTGTTTCGAGTAATTAGTGAACTTTTTCTTTGGTAATATGAGCTGTAGTAAGCTTTTAGCCTTTTCGATGGAGGCGAGATTACCCACGAGAAGAGAATGATTCCGGGAATAATTACGCTTACAGTTGATCATTGCTCCTTTCACCTTGTTTTGTTTTGAATGTGAAAAGTGAACATTGATCAAGGAGATTGGTAGTGAACCAGAACAATCTCTGTCCAAATTGATCCTTCCCGGAGGAAAGATGCAAAGGGAAAATCGCCGTCGGGAGCTTTTGGGAATGTATTTGTTTCCATGTGCATGGGCCGTGAAACGCGCCAAGTGAAATTCACACTATTTGCGGAGAAAGAGTATACTCGCTGCGATAGTCTCTCGTTGTAAAATATCATTTCATAAAGGGGGAAAGTGTCAAAAAAGTCCTAAACCTTTTGCATTGATGCCAATTGAGTCATAATCTTTTTTTTTTGTGTTAATTGAGTCATAAACTTTTTGTTTTTGTGCCAATTTAGTCCTTCTAGCTAATTTTAACCGGATTTTGTTGACGTGGATGCCAGTCGGCCGACGACCGGCCCCCGGCGCTGACATGTACAACTTTTAATAATATTTTAATATTTTTGAATTTTTACTTTTTTTTCTTTTTTTTCCCCTCCCCTCCCTTTTCCTCCTGCCGTACGGCGACCGGCCAATAGCGAGGGTGAGCCTCGACCTCGCCCAACCGTCGGCGAGGCACGATATCACCGGATCTGGCGAGGCTCGCCTGGCCCTCGCCAGCCCAGCACGAGGCCGCCCTCGTGGCCATCCGACGAGGGCGAGCCTCGCCAGGGGTGGTCGGCGAGGTCGACCTCGCCGGCCTTTGGCCAGTCGCCGGTCCGGTGACCGACTGGAAGAAGAGTGAGGGGAGGGAAAAAAAAAAAGAAGTAAAAATTCAAAAAAAAATTAAAATATTATTAAAAGTTGTACACGTCAGCAAAATCCGGCAAAAATTAGCCGGAAGGACTAAATTGGCACAATATAAAAATTCAGGACTTTTCTGACACTTTTCCCTTTTATAAGGTGTTTAAGACAAAGTCGAGTTTTGGGCCCTAGACATCTATAATCATATCTTCAAACTCCTAACATCTTTTTCAAAATTATGGACCACGTTAAATTAACTAGCGCTGATTCATAAGACTTTTGTATGCCGTGCAGTTTGAGTTTGTTTGCACGAGACATCTTAACTATAATTTATTTCGATATTCTAATGGGATATCGAATTAATTTAAATAATATATAAATGGAACGCTAGGATTGTGAAGCGCCCGTGGCCTAATGGATAAGGCGTCTGACTTCTCCTGAGACAATTGTGGTTCGAGTCCCACCGGGCGTGTGTGACCTTCGGACCCACTTCATTCTTTTTCGCTTTTTGGATCTTCTTCTTCTTCTTGTTTGTTTTTCATTTCACTAACAAGAATCAGCAATAGGAACAAGCAGCGGGTTCGGTAAACAAAGATGAAGTCGGCAGTGTGCATTGCACAGGTGAAGCTGTTTTTTTGGTCAATAGCTCGGGATGAAGATGATGAAGAGCTGATGTGGGGAGGACTCTTTTGTGACGATGCACTCCATGACCATTAGTAGCGATAGAACGAATCCCAGTTCGGACGATGTTGGCACTGTGCAGTGCATAGGTTTCAGTAGGAGTAGCAGAGAGTGATCGGTCCGGTCTGTCTCTCAGCTCGGGAAGAAGATGATGAAGAGCTGATGTGGGGGAGGACTCTTTTGTGACGATGCACTCCATGACCATTAGTAGCGATAGAATGAATCCCAGTTCGGACGATGTCGGCACTGTGCAGTGCATGGGTTTCAGTAGGAGTAGCTGAGACCTATCGGTCTGGTCTGTCTCTCAGCTCGGGATGAAGATGATGAAGAGCTGAATGTGGGGAGGACTCACTGGTGACGGTTTCAACTATCAAAGCAGTGAGTACACAAAACGCGAGGAGGAGAGCAATGGGAAACTCTTGTTTTTGTACAAGCTTCTGGGGAGAACAAGATTACAGGGACAGCTCCTCGTGCACTGCAGGTGATACATGGCGGTCCGGTCGTCGATCAGTTATCGCGGGCAGGCATGAGCGTAAATGCTTGCGACCATGAATTGACTCAGTGAAGACGACGATCATGAACAATGACAACAATAATTCTCGCGTCCGTGGATAAAAAAGGGGACCGCCTCGACTTCACTGCCAGGGGACTCTTCTGCCTGGACAACCAGAAATTGAATACATGGTCCGATTTTTTTTTTTTATGTGGACTTGGTTTTTAGTGTTTGATCGGACACAAAAAAGAGGCAAAGATATGATTTTTATCTCCCCGCCACTGGCAAAAGCAAACAGTAGACTCTTCATCTATCAAGAGTCGTATCTGTGTATTGTCAACATCTCCAGTGCGGGGGCGGAGGGGCTCAAAGTGAATACTAAGATTGTGACGTGAGTGGCTTGGATTCAACTTGTCCTCATAACTGATATATGCAATGCAAGGCCAAATTCCTTGATGTTGTACAGTTCCTGATAATCTGGATGCGTCCTCAGAATTCGCTGTGAATACCCTCCATCACGAAATCACTTTCCATGGCCGATAACCACTCTGCTGATGAGCCCCTGCTGCTGAACCTTACCGATGCCGAGAATGAGAATCCGCCTCGTTCCGCCTTTGCCACCGCGATCATCAAATGGGTTCTCGGCGTCGCCATGTGGCTCGTTCTCGGTTTATGGGTCGCGGTTTTTTTTATTTTCCCTTCGGATGCCGGGACTGAGCTCTTGGAGAGTTGGACCAGCGCGACCAGCGGAAGCATATATGGAACTACAGGTTCGTTTTTTTTTTTTGTCTCTCCTCGATCCTGAACTGGGCCTACTGGCAATGATTGTCACCTTATTGGTGCTTGAACCACCCAGCAGGGAGCATATTCTTGCTGTGTAGCGGTCCGATTCTCGTCATCGTGTTTCTTGCCATAGCAAGTCTTATGGTTGATGGGAAGAAAGCGCTCCAATTGTATGTTGAACCTCCAGTCGTTGTCCCTTTTTTGTCTCTGCCTTTTTTCACTGAACAAATTTACTTCCTCATACACTGCCATTGAACACGAGATCTCAGGAAGACGAGTAGCAAATACCCAAGGATTCGATTGCGGACATTTCCCATCCTGGCTGATGGACCATTTGGAGTAGTCTCAGCAGCTGAGTTTATTGGGATTTGCCTCTTTGTAGCGTTCGCTATTTGGGCTTTATATGCTTATACCATGCAGAATCTCAACGTGTTGTCGGAGCTCTCGTTATCTTCGGAAGGGAAATGGTATTCCTTGTTCTAGCTTAAATTCATAGTTACCTTTTACGCCAGCCTATCATTTGAAATTATGTGTCAAAAATCTCAAGTTTGCGGTATGCGTCTTCTCGATTCTTAGTAAACAAGGCCGTTCCACTGGGTACTTCGTTGTTCTTTGCAGGATTTTGATGCTTATACTTACCGGACTTCGCTTTGCTTCGATCGGGATATACTGCTTGGCATTTCTCTTCCTCCCAATTTCTAGGGGATCTGTTCTTCTTAGTATCATAGATATCCCCTTTGAGCAAGCAACCCGGTATCATGTCTGGCTTGGAAATCTCACATTGCTCTTCTTCACTCTCCATGGGCTATGCTTCATAATTGCATGGGCGCTGGAAGGTCGACTGCTAGATGAAGTGAGCCCCATCGATTTGCTTTTGCTTAAATGGTTATCTTTTCCTCTCTCCTATTAGTTCTATCTTTGTCATTCTTTCCGTTTCCTGTTTAAGGAGCTGAGCATCATAAGTGCTAGTCATGATCGGTGTCCATGGTAACTTCCTATTAGAAATTTCTGTAATCAGACATAATTGGACTTGATTATGCTGAAGTTCTTAATCCTAGACTCAGAATGTCTTATTCAGATACTGCAGTGGAAGGATGAAGGTATTGCCATTCTACCCGGGGTTATCAGCCTTTTGGCTGGTCTACTGATGTGGGTGACCACGTTGCCTCCGGTGAGGAAGAAGAACTTCGAGTTATTCTTCTATACACACCAACTCTATGTTGTCTTCGTCATCTTTCTGGCTCTGCATGTCGGAGATTTTATCTTTAGTATAGCTGCTGGAGGGATTTTCCTCTTCGTGATCGACCGGTTTCTCAGATTCTGCCAATCGCGAAGGACTGTGGATGTAATTTCCGCAACGTGCCTCCCTGGCGGAAGTATAGAATTGGTCTTCTCAAAGCCAGCAAGTACTAATAATTTCTCATTTTCTTCATCTGTGGATCGTTAATTAGTTGCTTGTACCCTCTTGCAGAATGTTCTACTATTTGAGTTGGTATTTTCTTGGTGATGCAGATCTGCGGTACACTGCCCTGAGCTTCATCTTCCTTCAGATTAGGGAATTGTCTTGCCTTCAATGGCATCCTTTCAGTGTTTCTTCTAGTCCTCTGGCTGGAAGGAAACGTATCTGTGTCCTCATAAAGGTCTTAGGGGAATGGACCTCGAACTTGAAGAGCAAGGTATTGCATATGTCCAGCACAGAAGGAGAAAACGGCCTCCGCAGCCAATCTCGTTCCAAAATTACAGCTTCTGTCGAAGGGCCTTACGGGCATGAAATCCCTTACCATCTGATGTATGTTTTACGATCTGCTGGTACAACTTTCGTAATTAATGGCGAGAAAACAGTAAGGCATGAAACCATCAGTGATGAGTAAAACTAGGCAAAGTTCGACCCTTCTCATTTGAAAGAACACATTCTGACCTCCATAAAAATATTAGTGCTTCTAGATTAGGAAGTATCTTAAGATTGTCCCCTCTTTTTAGCGGATTCATTCTTGAATTGTTTGCTCTGGTAGGTATGAAAATCTCATTCTGGTAGCTGGAGGCAGTGGGATATCCCCCTTTTTGGCCGTCTTGAGTGACATACTCCATCTTACAAATCAAGGGAAACCATGCTTGCCAAAGAATGTCTTGGTGATTTGGGCCATAAGAAAATCCAATGAGCTTCATCTGCTTTCCACTCTGGATACGGAGTCGACCTGTCCTAACTTTTCTGATAAGCTGGACCTCGAAGTTCGTGTCTACGTCACTAGGGAATCGGATCCTCCACTGGTAAATCTGACCTGTGCCTTTGACATACAATTTGCCTCAGATCCGTGAAATAAACTAAGTGTGGTTATGCTGCAGGAAGAAGGTAACATTGATGAGGGCATTAGCACTTCCATGTCTCCTCCATCCAGGGGAAGCGGCATGTCCGTTCTAGTTGGTACGGGAAACCGCGCGTGGTCCGGAGCTTATGCCATCTCGTCCATTGTTGGATTTGCCGTATCGATGGCCCTGCTGGACATCTTCTACATAAACCCTTTGAATATAGTCTCATGGTGGTACAAAGGCCTCTTGCTTGTAGGATGCATGATTGGCAGTGTAATTATATTTGGAGGTCCTGTCATCTATTCATGGCATCGCTGGGAAAAAAGAGCCGTAGCTGCAGAGGAAGTCGAGGATGGCGAGAACGATGACAAGTCGCAGCAGAGTGCACATTCCAATACAATGCAGGACAACATAGTCCCAAAAGATCACGCTTTGTCATGGACTACGCATTACGGCGCTAGACCAAACTTTGAAGGTACATTTTGCCGTGTCATTCGGGAGACGATATACTTGTTTTAGATGGAATGATCTCACCCTTGGCAGTAATCAAAAGAACTCATTAGTAGTTAAAGGACTCGGCCCTCATTGATATCCTCATTGATCCCATTTCCATCTCTGCACAGAAATCTTCATGTCCGTGTCTGAGCGCTGGGGCAATGTCGATATTGGCGTGATCGTGTCCGGTCCCGCAACTCTTCGCCGAGCGTTGCCAAGCAAAGGTGCAGGTCACAGTAACTTGAGGAGGCGAGCACTTCACCCAGTCTTCCATTACAACAGCCACAGTTTCGATCTGTAGCTACCCTGTCAATGGCTGTTCAATCTCATCCGTGCCAAGCATGTGACAGATCCAATCCACGAGCATCGATCAGCCTAGAGTACTCATGATATAGTATCCTAATCAACAATCATATAGGATCGGAATATCTTTGTAATGTGACGCGACGCAGTATTACGATGCCTGGTTGGATGATTAGTGTACTCTGAATCTAAAATGTGAGACACCCAGGTATATGCAAGTGGACATTGTTTCACTGATACATATTAATGAACTGAATATTATTAGGATGGGTTGGGAACAAACTCAAATATATTTTTTTGTAACTAGTATCCACCATTTCAAAATTGGTTAACTTTCTCCCTAAATTTCAAAAATGAAAATAACTTTTGGAAGAGCAATGTCCTGCACCTTGAGTCAATAAAAGGGTCCATTTGTTCTTAATCATATTTAGTGAAAAAGTTATCTATTGAGTTTTGGGTCAAAACTTAAAAGTACAAATTAAGTTTTAAGAAAATTATGGAAATATTGTATGCTAATCTACATATAGATATTTTCTTGTGTTGAAAGGTTTCGGGTATCTTAAATTAAAGTCGAATTGAATGAGTGGTAGATTTGAAATAACTAAAAAGTAAATACAATAAAAATCAATTTTAGATTTTTCTGTTTTTGCAGAATTCTATTGTCTAGTACCAAAAGTAAGGATTTTTTTCTAGTATTGTTAAGATTCGATAATGTTGGTAAGTAGCAAAAACCTGTTGGTAAAAAATAAATACGTGGCGACTTTTTCCCAAGCGATTTGTTAGTGTTTAGCGAAACTTTTATGTTTGCAACTGAGCAAATATTTGCATAATTATTTGGAATTGACTAACTCTTATATAGAATTACCAACCTTTAGAGTGATTCACTAACTTTTGCCACGTTAATTTATTAATCAACTTTTTGTTACCAACTCTCATTTAAGATATATATATCGATATATATTTAATTTATCAACTTTTTCGATTGAGTTACCGATATTTATTTATATTGACTAGCAATCTTTTACATTTACAATTCTCGTTAGAGATTACCAACCTAAAATAGCAACTTTTTAAATTTTCTCCCATTAAATATAATTTAATATTGAGTTATCAATCCTCATTTAAGTCATTTACCGATAATTATTTGATTTTTCTAATTTGCCAATCTTGTTTTGTCGTTTACAAACTTTTATTTGCATTCCTCAACAACTTCTTAAATTGACCAACTTTTTACGGAAATTACCAATCTTAAGTTACTAACTAATTTTGGATTGCCAATTTTCTTACAATTTATCCACCAAATTTATTTTTCTCGACCCGTGTTCCAAAGATCAAAATAGCATCTTTTGCTGCTCACTGGGTCAATCAAATTCGTTTCTTTCTCGAGCCGCGAAGCAAAAGATTGCATGCGTTTTCTTCAAGTGTACGAAGAAACCGTACGGTTGAAGCTCATCATCGGGCTTCGAAGACTTGCAGGTGGTGGGTGGGTCGTACGTGTCCAGATTCTCCATCGCTCGAGCGAGCGGGGCACTTCCGTAAATGGAACCCACCCACATGGCTGATCATGCGACGACGGATGACATGACAACGCAAATTCTTGGGTACGCATAAAATTGAGTGGACCTGATCGCTTATCCGTAGGACGATTCTTCTGTGACGTGACAACCCACTACCGGTAAGTAGTAAGTACCCTGTCGTGTTCCCGTTTTCTTGTGGACTTGGTTTTCTTGTTCGCTTCTTCATCCACCTTTGGCAGACCAAGAAAGAGCCGATTGGAGAGGATCTTTCGTCAGCCTCTCTGCTAGAGACGAAATGCACCCAGTACGGTTGAGCGATGACTGATATGTCCTCTTCCTCATTCTTCATGTATCAAGAATCCCGGTGTCCACTGCCTCAGCCACAGGATGCCACGGCGAAGACGACGCTACCATCTCATTCCGTGCGCGTCGCGACGGGATATGGTTTCTTCTCAATGGCGATATTGAGATTGTGATGTGTGTGGTTTGAATTCTCCTAACTGATGTACGCCGTGCCAAATTCCTTAATATTGTATGGTTCCGCATAATTTGGACTTGGAGGGGTCCTCGAATTCTCTGTGAGTTTATATATACATCTGGGGTTTTGGCCTAGGCTGCTTCAGAATACCCTCCATCATCGTATCTCTTCGCATGGCTAAAAAGCACTCTGCTCACGAGCCTCTGCTGCTCGACCTCACCGATGTCGAGAAGCCACCTCGTTTCGCCCCCCCTGCATTCGTCAAATGGGTTCTCAACATCGCAATGTGGCTCTCCTTCATTTTCTGGGTTGCGATCATATTTGCTTCCCCCTCGGAGTCCGCGGAGAAGTTAACGAGGAATTGGACTAGAGCAGCCAGTGGAAGCGTATATGGCCTTACAGGTTCAGCTTTTGCTCTCCCTTACCCTGACTTCGCATAGTTAGCAGTCATTGTCGCCTCATTTTGGCGCTTAAGACCCGAGGTGCTTAAAACCCTGCAGGAAGCATATTCTTGCTATATAGCGGCCCGATTCTAGCTGTTGCGTTTCTTGCCATAGCAAGTCTGATCATTGGCGGGGAGAAAGAGCTCCAATTGTATGTTGAATCGAAGCTCCAGTCATTGTGTCGGTAGTCTGTTCATTTTTGTTGTGCAAATTAGATTTCTCACTGCCACTGAACTTGAGATCACAGGAAGAAGACCGGCAAATACCCGAGGTTTCGATTACGGACATTTCCCATCCTGGTCGATGGACCATTTGGAGTAGTCTCAGCAGCTGAGTTTATCGGGATTTGCTTCTTTGTCGTGTTTGTCCTCTGGGCTGTTTATGGTTATACCCTGCAGAATCTCAACTTGTTATCAGAGCTCCAAGTACCTCCCGACTTGAAAGGGTATTACTCGTTCTTCACTCTTAATTCATAATCAGGCTTTTCCCATTGACCTAAATTGAGGCTTGAATGAACCGAGGCCAGTGTATCATTTGAATTTATGCATCAAGAATCTTAACTATAATTATTGTATGCAGCTTTTTGATTCTCCTAACAAAAGCCATTCCACTGAGGATTTCGTCATTCTTTGCAGCATAGTGATGCTGGAACTTTCTGGACTTCGTTTTGGTTCCATCGGGCTGTACTGCTTGGCGTTTCTCTTCCTCCCAATTACTAGAGGATCTGTTCTTCTCAGTATCATTGACATCCCCTTTGAGCAAGCAACTAGATATCATGTCTGGCTTGGACATCTCACAATGTTTGTCTTCACCCTCCACGGGCTATTCTACTTAATCGCATGGGGTCTGCAAGGTCGCCTGCTACATGAAGTGAGCCCTCATACTGTGCTTTTGCTAAATGCCTGACTGTCCCTTTTTCTTGTTTTTCAGTTTTCCTAAATTATCTTTACTTTCATGTCTTTCTCAGTCCAATATATTGAAAGAAGCCCTCTTGTTAACTTACCGTGACATGTTTCAAAGCATGGTAGCTAGACATATTGAACAACAACCGATTTTAAAACAGAAGATATGGTTTCTGCAATTCAATAATCAGAGGGAACAGGTCCAGAATGACAGGGCCAATTACTGTGCAGGTTATATTATATCTCAAAATGACATGAAAAATAAAGATTGTAATCTGATATCAATGCTCCCCAATTTTAAAATCATGCTAAATCTGCTGCTTAACTTTTGCAGCTACAAGATATTTTCCAAGTATTGTAGCTTCTGTACCTTTCCTTTAATGATTGGGCCCTCCAGCTTTGCGTTCAATATCCTGTTGAAAAAGCTATACATCGTCTCAACAAGTCATGACAACAAGAGATGGGAATGTCAGCACACACAATCTCTAGCTTCTATAAAATGTCTCGTGTGATCCGGGTCCAGGGCTACTCTTTTTCCTGGAAATTTTTCACATATACTTATACCAAACTTGATTATGCTGAAGTTCATATTCCTGACTGAGAATGTTTTGTATAGATACTGGAGTGGAGAGATTATGGTGTTGCTAATCTACCTGGGGTTATCAGCCTTTCGGCTGGTCTACTGATGTGGGTGACATCATTGTCTCCAGTGAGGAAGAAGCAATTTGAATTATTCTTCTACACGCACCAACTCTACATTGTCTTTGTCATCTTTATGGCTCTGCATGTTGGAGATTTTATTTTCAGTATAGCTGCTGGAGGAATTTTCCTCTTCGTGATTGACCGGTTTCTGAGATTCTGCCAATCACGAAGGACTGTGGATGTTATTTCAACAACATGTCTGCCTTGTGGAACTGTAGAATTGGTCTTTTCAAAGCCAGCAAGTAATAATTGTTCTTGTGCTCTTTTATCTTGTCCATTGTCAATACGTTCTGTTGGTTGTACCCTTTTCAAGAATGTCTATTAACTAAATTACTGTACCTTTCTCATCGCAGATCTACGGTACAATGCCCTGAGTTTCGTTTTCCTTCAGATTAGGGAATTATCTTGGCTTCAATGGCATCCTTTCAGTGTTTCTTCTAGTCCTTTGGCTGGGAAGAATCATGTCTCTGTCCTCATAAAGGTCTTAGGCGAATGGACGGCAAAATTGAAGAGCAATGTATTGGACATTTCTAGTGCTGAAGGAGAAAAAGAACTACCCAACCAATCTTGTTCCAAAATAACAGCCTCTGTTGAAGGGCCTTACGGGCATGAATTGCCTTACCATCTGACGTATGAGTTATAATTTTGCTAGTGCATTTTTCGTACTTGATGGTGAGAGAACAATAATGCACGAAGCATACCATTAGTGATGAGTGAAACTGCATGGATTTTGACCCTTCTCAATTTAAAAGAATACATTCTGACTCTGATGACTTGTCCAAAGTTGGGAAGTATCTTTATTTCGTTCAGTTCGATTCCATTGGTAAAAGTTTGCTGATTTGAATTTTCACCATCATGACAAAGGCGTGTTCTTACTTGAGTTATTTTCTCTGGTAGATATGAAAACCTCATCCTGGTGGCTGGAGGCATTGGGATATCCCCCTTTTTGGCTATCTTGAGCGATATACTTCATCTTACAAAGGAAGGAAAACCATGCGTACCCAAGAATATATTAGTCATTTGGGCCATCAAAAAATCAGATGAGCTCCCTATACTTTTCACTCTCGATGCAGAGTCGATCTGCCCTCACTTTTCTGAGAAACTAAATCTCCAAGTCTGTGTTTATGTTACACGGGAATCTGATCCTCCTCTGGTAACTTTCAATTGTGTCTTTGAAATACAACTTGCCTCAAATCACTGTGATCAGTTAACTTCTCTACTATTGCTGTTCAATTTTAAATCATGCAGAACTGAGTATATTATTATAATGCAGGAAGAAGGTAAATTTTACAAGGGCATTAGCTCTTCCATGTCTCCTCCATCCAAGGGTAGCTGCATGTCTGTTCTAGTTGGCACTGGAAACCGTGTGTGGTCTGGGGTTTATGTTATCTTGTCCGTGGTTGGCTTTGCCATATTGATGGCCCTGCTGGACATCTTCTACATAAACCCTATGAACATAGTCTCATGGTGGTACAAAGGCCTCTTGTTTGTAGGATGCATGTTTTCCAGTATGATCATATTTGGAGGCCCTGTCATCTATCTATGGCGTGTCTGGGAAAAAAGAATTCTAGATGTGGAAGAATCTGCAGATGCCAGGAAGGATGAAGCGTTGCAGCACAGTGCCAGTGTTTATATAACGCAGGAAAACTTAGTCCCAAAAGACCGTGCTGTTGCGAGGAGAATGTATTATGGCACTAGACCAAACTTTGAAGGTACTCTTTGCCATGTCATTCAGTAAATGATAGTCTTTACTTGTTTTAAGTTGAGTGACCTCACTAACTGAAGAACTGGGTACTTGTTGGTGTTATGCGGTAACAATGTGGATCTTATGCATTGATTTCTTTGTGTGACTCTGCGCAGAAATTTTTACATCTGAGTCCGAGTGCTGGGGCAATGTTGACATTGGCGTAATCGTGTGTGGTCCTGAGACTCTTCAGTCGAGTGTTGCCAGAGAATGCAGGTCGCAGAACTTAAGGAGGGGGTCACTTCGGCCGGTCTTCCATTTCAACAGCCATAGTTTCGATCTGTAGCTACTTTACTATCGCTCATCACTCGTGTCTGTGCCAAACTCGAAAGATCCAATTGGGAGCATTGATAAGCCTACACTACTGATGCAATATACTGTGAATACAATCCTTATCATATAGGATCAGATATCGTTGTAATGTCAAATAAGGCAGTATTCTGTCACCTAGGTAGATGAGTAGTGTGCTCTGGATCTAATATGTGAGGCACACACAGATGTATATTGGTGGACATTATTACAGTAATGTACTGATTACATATAAAAATGCTTTTAGCCTATGTAAATTCAGCTTCAAAGGACATGTCCAGCTAGATCTGGCACATTCTGATGAATGCATTTGAACATGTTTAGCTAAATCCGGCACATTCTGATAAATGCATTTGAACGGCCGATCATTTAGTGTTGGCAGTGTAGTCTTCAATGGCAATGCCAAATCAAGATGCGCCGTCTTTTTCATAAAAAAGAACTTGTTTCCGATACTGTTTGTCAATTGTCACGAGAGGGCTTCACGGTCCTTTCTTCCACCGTCTACCCCATCCTGAGCCAAGCGAGTCATAAGAAGTTCTGCTGCAACGAGGAGCAAAAGCTGCATGTATCTCAATTTGATCATTCGCTTTGTCATATGATTGACATCGTCGGTGACGCTGAAACTACAACCTCCAGGAATAGAAGAGTCACCCCGTTCGCTTTTTGCCCAATTGTAGGGACAATGACCGAAAGTATTTGTTTCATCCAACACGAATTTGGGGTCACAAGAGCATTGTGGAGTAGACATAAAACGTGACCATGGGGCAGGTTGCTTGGACAAAGGGCCAAAGGAACCAACTGCATGAACAGATTAATCATAAGTTGCAAGAGGATGTTGGATTTTGAACAGTCCCATCACAAATGGGAGGCCTGACCACGGGAAGAGAAAAGAACACCCGAAAGGATTCACTAATTGGGGGTATGATTTCACAAGTGGGATTTAGTTTATTTCGGAAAATTATGACATTGATATACACAAGACATCTCCTAATTTCAGGAAGCCGAAAACCTTTTCACTAATTGGGTTTATGATTTCTGAAAATTTTGGTTAAGACAATACATTTAAGATCGTTAATGTGCTCAATGACCTTTGTTAGGTTAATATAGTCGTTCCTACTGAAAAAGAGAACAGCGTGCAACAACTAAATCCTTCTCTGAAGCTCGAAAGGTGGTCGTCCTACTAAAATCGATTAGCCACCGGGGATTGCCGATCGCCCCGATGCCGCCTGCAAGCTAGGGACGAACATCACCTGATTATAGATGATGGCTGACAAAACCCGTCCCGAGAAACAGCCGCTAGGGATGGTGTTGCCATCTAGAACCCATTGGGAAATTTTTCCTTTTCTTTTTGCCCCAAAATTTGGACAGCCTAGGCCCGATCTTTTTTTTTTTTTTTTTTAGATAATGACACAAATGATTCATAAACTTTGACCCAACGTGCAATGATAGTCCATAAATTTTTAATTTATTTAATATGATTCATGAGCTTTAACCCAATGTGTAACTATGGCCCCTGAACTTTTAATTTGTTAAATGTGATCGCTGAATTTTTCATACATGTTTAATTTAGTCCTTGAATTATATGAAAATGTTTAATATTGTCCTTGATTTGGAATTAACGAAATTACAACGTCAAACATTTTCATACAATTCAAAAATCACATTAAATAAATTAAAAGTCTAAGAATCGCACTGATCAATTACACATCGAGTTAAAATTCATGAATCATATTAAATAAATGAAAATTTCATGCGCCATATTACACGTTAGGTCGAAGTTCATGAATCATTTGTGTCAATTTTCCCCCTTTTTTTTTCTTTTGACGGCCGGAGTTGAAAATCTATTAATAAGACGTAGTTCTCAAAGCGGATCAGCTGAGGTCAAAAGCAAGTGGGACCCACATTTGCGATCCCCTCCTCCAAAATCAAGCGGCTCCCGGAGCCCCACGCCTTCGTGATCAATCAAACACGGCACGCGGAGTAGTCGGTTTGAAGCGCCACGCCCACCCAAAAGAAAAACCAAAAGAAAGATGGCCGGATGAATCCGCACGCGCACCTCCATGGTCGGTTCCCTCCTTCCCAGAAGCTGAATTCTGCCCACTGATCCACCAGTGGGAAAGTCCTTGCTCTGGTCCTCCTCCCCACGTCAGAAACCTCAGCTTCCCCAGAAGACAGAACAAGGAAGAAAAAGAAACAGGGGCAATCCCTGAACCTCGCGAGCGAAAAAGGAATCAAAGGAACTTTCTTTGTTCCCGGGTCTCCCTCGTTCCTACTCTTCTTGCCGGGAATTCGGTCTCTACCTCGAAAGATTCCTTTTTGGCGTTCTGGGTATGTATGATTTCGTCTTGTTGGTTTAGTTCTAGGAGTTGATCTCGAGTTTAAATTGTCTTTCGTGTGAATCCGATTTCAGGGTTGTTTTTCCCCTTGGGAGCTGCACAAGTAATCGGGGGGTGTCGCCATGAGGTAATTTGCTTCTCTCGCCAGTTGTGGTTGGTTCCATGCGAACGATCCGTTCGTGCTTGTTGTGGGAGTGTGAGATGTTGCCCGTTGCTTTATCTTTCCGGCATACTTGGTTAGTTGCTGAGAAGGTTCTTCCCATGTTGAAGCGAATTGGGTTTCTTTAGCTTATCTTATTCCCATATAGGATGCGGCTTGACGTAAGGGATGCCCAACATTTGCTTTCGATCTTTAACTAAGGATTATGGGGACGGACCGTCTTTATAATGCTTATAGTCTTTAGAAATGTAATGCTCTATCTGCCTTCTCAAGTGGGAAAAGCAGCTATGCCTATGCTAATTATTGGATGCTGCTGCAATTTTTGTAGTTCGGATCGTACCATTTGTTGCCTGGTGCTCTAAAAATGATAAGACACATACTATGAGAGCAGATAAGTTTTCAGATATAATTTTAGTGCTGTGTAAAAGGTTCCCTATCTCTGTTGCTCCTCTTAATCGTTGACTGGGACTTGCCACTGAATAGTTTTTTATCAGATTTCCCTAATTGACGTGGAACATTTAAATCTGAATATTACTACCAAGTAGTTACATAACATGTTGCCTCTATGAACTGAGGAAGTCCTGGATATCTGTGGTTTGGTGGGCTGCTTTGGAGAATAGATGGCTCATTACTCCCCCCCCCCCCCCCCCTACAGTGTCTGGTTGAAATTAATTGTAGTCCGTGTCCTTTAATTCTTGTATTTTGTCCTTTGAAAGATCTTACAATGACAATCTCTGATATTATAATAGTTTTTCCTCCAGTTGTTGTCTTATTTATGGTGCAATCCACAGAGAGAATCTATATCCGATTGTCTATGCTAGTGTGTTATCAAGTCGTATCTGTATTAATTGCAAATCCAAATAACTCACTTTAATCTCTTCCTGCCACTTTATTGGACCAATAATAAGAATTGGATGAAGCTTCAGTATGGAAATTGCGTATGGGCAAATGAGCTTTGGCTATCAGGTTCTCCTCACGTAAGCATTTTGTGAGAGTATGAGCTCTGATATGTTTCCCACTGGAATGATTTGCTTCATCTTTTGTTATTGGTACGGGTATATTGATGATGGAACTTTTCGTCTTAGGACTAGCCGCAGTTCCTTGCCCCCGATTAGCATGTATTTTCTTCTCCTGCTTCTTTCACTTATTTATCTGTATGTATGTATTTATACTGTATTATTCTGTCTGAAGTTTATATTGTTTGAAGCAGAAGACTCAAGACATGTTATCTTAAGTCTTCCAGTGGGGAATTTGTGATCAAAATAAAGGAGAAATCGCTATTGAGTTGTCTGTGACAACACTCTTCCATTCTATGCCAACCTTTCTCTTTTATATTAAGATTCGGATCAGAAGATCATTAAGTTATAAGATGGGGAACTCAAAAGCATAGTGAAACTGCCTAACGATCAAGTTTCATGCTTTAAATTTTCAGCAAAAACAATTTCTTTGTTATGTTCCATCACATTAACAGTATTATAATTGTCTATTCTAGGTACGTTTGAATTGGTATCAATAACATTTCTTTTCTTGCTTTAGAAAATTAATATCTTTTCCGAAAATAGCAGGATTATTTGATCTTAGATGGGGGCATTGATGGCTAATCCAAATTCATTGAACTCGCTGGTCTCGTTCGGTTCGTTGGAACAAAGGGGAACAGATATGGCAGATGCTAACTCGGCGCTACAACCTCCTCTGGGTCGCCAAAACCGGAGTAGCTCTGACGGTCCAGTAGCTATCCTTTGGGACATCGAGAATTGCCGTGTTCCTAGTGATGTCCGTCCCGAAGATGTAGCTGGTAATATCAGAATGGCTTTGCGTGTGCATCCCATAATTAATGGAGCTGTCATGACGTTCTCTGCCTATGGAGATTTCAATGCTTTCCCAAGGCGTCTAAGAGAAGGATGCCAAAGAACCGGCGTAAAACTCGTCGATGTTCCAAATGGGAGGAAAGATGCTGCTGATAAGGCTATCTTGGTTGACATGTTCCTGTTTGCGCTAGACAATCCTCCACCATCATCTATAATGCTCATCTCTGGAGATGTTGATTTTGCCCCTGCTCTCCACATACTCGGGCAACGTGGATACACCATAATCCTTGTTATTCCTTCTAATGTAGGTGTTTCCTCTGCTCTCAGTAATGCTGGTAAGTTTGTGTGGGACTGGCCTAGTGTAGCACGTGGAGAAGGGTTTGTTCCCCCGGCTAAGGCTATAACAGTCCCACGTGGAGGACATTGTGACATCGCAGGCTACTTCATGGGGTGTCACGTCACCGAAAACCAGGACTGTACTAATGAGGAGGAAGCAATTGTGTACAGGGGGATTTCACAGAGCTACTGCAACTCAAGAGACTATTCATTAATATCGCAGTCCTTATCCGAGTACAACAGCACAACTATTGCAACGCCTTGTTTTGCCTCATCATCAAGATCTCATAGTCTTCCAACTGGTTTGAATGAAGTTTCGGCTGGAGGACCGATTTCTTTAGCTGATCAAAATGATTCAACATTGTGGGTACAGCCTGGGGATCTGAACGGACTAAAAGGGCAGCTTGTAAAGTTGCTAGAACTTTCCGGAGGATGTTTGCCTCTGACCCGTGTGCCTGCGGAGTATCAAAAGGCTTTTGGTAGGCCTCTCTATGTCTCAGAATATGGTGTATTTAAGCTTGTGAATCTTTTCAAGAAGATGAATGACGCAATGTCCGTGGAGGGAAAAGGCCAAAAGAAGTTTGTCTATCTCCGCAACTGGAAGGTGGGACCCAGTGCACCTGCTTTGGTCTTGACAAAGAAAGATAAGAAAGGAAAAGGGCCTCAGGAAGAGACCGACGCCGTTGCGGGTGTCGGCTCTTCGGATGAGTTATCAGATGAAGAGCAACTGGAATGTGAAGAAAGGAGCGTCCAAGGGAAGACTGGCGACAGAAGCGGTTCTCCATGTGACCTCATTGCTCGAAATCTCGAGCAGTTCAAGCATGAGCTCCAAGAGATTCTTGTCAGCTATTCATGTCGCATTTTCTTGGGTTGTTTTGAGGCAATATACGAACAACGTTATAAGAGACCACTCGATTACCAAAAGTTTGGTGTGGATGGGCTGGAGGAGCTCTTCAAGAAGTTGGGGGATGTGGTGACCTTGCATGAAGATACTCTAAGCAAGAGGAAATTCCTAGCTGCCGCTGGTTGCTAGAAGAACAAGATACCCGTCAAAACTCTTGTAAACTACATTAGTCTTAAGTTTAACTGAAGCATGCTTACGATCCTGAAATGTCCTCATTTCATTTTCTTTCTTCCTGTTTTTTGGTCCTTGGGTCATCCGAAAGCTGCATAAAGGACGACAAGAGCTTGGACCACACCTGTTTTTTCTTTTCAACGTGCGTCCCCCGCATGGATCGAAGTTTGCATTTTAGAACCGCCATGCGAAAGCTCTACCGTGTTGTCTCTGTGACTAATAATTTGCTAATGAAGGTTGCGTTTTTCATTTAGATTATCCGTGCAATATGATATTCCTATGGTGTGAGTTGGGTGGGTTGGGTTTTGCTTCAAGGATGGAAGACGGCATACGTGGTAGGACTTGTGTGGATGCGTGGTGCCTTTGGAAATGCGATTCTGGTTTTAGGTGACATTTTTCAGGGTGCGGGCAGGATTAGGTTGCGCGCTTGTCTGTGATGCTTGCAATGCACTCTGCTCTCTGGTAAACCACATCATCTGCAGAGCGATCTCAAGGGCTTTGGCGTGCAAGATATCCTCTTCTCTTTAACGGAACGATTGCCCCGTTTGTGCAGGTGAGATCGCATAGCGCTTAAGGAATGTAAAGAGTAGCCATATTGGCCGTTCTTTTTTGCTTATTCTTGATCTAGTTGTCGAGATAATGAAAAAAAAGAGATATTTGCTTGTTCCAAAATACTTTATTTTTGCCTTGAATCATTGGGTTTAGGCGTTACTTCGGTGATTTTTAATCGTTTCAAAATGGCAGCAACATGTCCCTTTTTCTGATTTAATCATTGGGTTTAGACATTACTTCGGTTGATTTTCGCACGATACACTTTTAGTCAAAAATGTTTCCCTAATTCCAACAAATTTTCCTTTCGTGGATTTGAAACTTGCCAGAATAGGATCCTTTCAATTTAGAAATCGAAAATAGACTACACTTCCAAAGTTGTTCCAATTTATTTATTGGCACTAACCCTAGATCCTTGCCCAGAGTAATGAATCAATACTTGCTACTAGTGCTACATCACATACTATTTACACTACAGCCAGAGAAAAAAATGAGGATTCATTCCTATATAATAAAAAGGATAGGTGTAATATTTTACAATCGTTTATATCCTTCAAGTCGCACGTTACTTTCTACAATATCGTTTCAAATGAAGTTTTACCGTAACATTTCTCTAATTCTGAACCGATATGTGATTAATTCAATTAGGAAATCATGAATAGTCATTTGATCGGTCGTTACGTTGGTTTCTAAAGAAGTCTTGGAAAGAATTTGATTTAGCCGTCGATTTTCATTTTATTGGATGACAGCTTAACGAATGTGGGTTTCTCATTGTTCCAGAAAAGCCACAAATGACAGTTGTCTACTGTCAGAGAGAGAGAGAGAGAGAGAGAGAGAGAGAGTTGGGCATATGGTGACAACGACGAAACTGGACGCTTTCTTTTAGTGCTCAGCAATTCCAACAAGATATCAACTATGGTTTCATTTCATCTCCACAACTGGATTTTAGTATTTGGCAAGTTTTGACCTTTTATAGTAATTTGATCTGAGGGCAGGATTAGACTGCATTGCTAATATTTGCGCTAGTGTGGCTGCCATGGTCCTACACAAAAGAGATTAGACATAAAACTGTCAAAAAAAATTGAGGAGAAAGAAGAAAAGGCGAATGTTGAGGAAGCACTTGTATTGTATGCCATGCTTTCTTTTATACATCACCCTTTCCGCCAGGGAAATGAGGGGCGTGAATTGAATGGATGACATTTCTCGACTGTCAAAAACAGCACAGTGCATGACGTCTTGTTACCTGATCATCGATGTTCGAAAAACGGACCGAAGATTCCTTTGACGCCGTCGCGTCCCGTGCCCTTCTATTTTATGTGCTTTTCCGGTTTCGACAAATGCCCATGGCCGTTGGATTCACAAAGAGCTCGATCGTTCATCGATAACTTTTTGATCCTCGTAAGTCGGGACATGTCGTATGGAAATTACGATGAAGTGTTCATCGACACAACCGCATTCCAGATCGAGAGACAGTTTTAAGAGGGAGCACATAGGCCAGATTTTCTCTAGCATGTGCAGATATTTTGGCGCAACAGAACATCAACAGGGCATCAACGAGAGTGAAAATGCTTGTATGGACATGAGTTCGCAAGTCATATGAAAGTAGATGCTGGATTGACCAAAGTCGGAGCGAGTAAAACTTAGGATTTCCCACACAATTGTCGTTCGTTAATTCGTGGATCTTACGTCTCACGTCAAATCTACATGATTGCTGAGCGGCACGGATTCCATCAGCGTGGACCTTTGGACCACGCAAGTATTTCTTCCACAACGAAAGTCACCTGCACCGCGTGGGAACGAAAACTTGAAGCCGAAAGCTCGCTCCCGGAAAACAACTCCACAGCTGCTGCGTCGTCGTCTTCATAATGCCTCCTCTTTGCTACCCAACAACAAAGGCACAAAAGCTTCACGCCACGCGCAGAGAGTGAGCCGCCTCCTCTGTCTTCTCCGTATGCCACCATCGCAACCTTGATTATTAATGTCCATGGAGGCATGTAAAAGCTCTCTCTCTCTCTCTCTCTCTCTCTCTCTCTCTCTCTCTCTCTCTCTCTGTGAAGGCATGGTCCTGTGTTCTTGTTTATGCTCTTTCTGGAGTCACTAGTGACAACCGTCGCATTCATTCGCGCAGAGGATCGTTTCCATCGCGACCCTTTTGATCGCAGCTTCTCTCTTCACCGTTTCAGCTGCTCTCAAGGTCCTTCCTCTCTCCTCTCTCCTCTCTCCTCTCTGTCTCTCTGCACATCCTCCTCACATACCCACGCGAAAAAGGAAAACACTCGGTTGTAAACTATCGCTTTGCAATCATGGTGAAATCAACACGAACGTGTGCCTGCTCCAATGGCTCTGCTGATTGTTCTTCAACAGGAGGGACAAACCTGCGTCGCCAACAAATTCTGCGACTCCGGCTTGCACTGCGAGACTTGCGTCGCCGATGGAAATACACGCCCTCGATGCACTCGGATTCGGCCCTCCAATCCCACTTCACAGGTTCTTCTCTTCTTCTTCTCTTTGTTTCTATTTCCGGACTGATCTGTTTGGCAAACTTGCTCGACTTCACAGCCTCTGCTTTTTTGTTGGCATTGATTTTTTTGCGCAGGTCAATAATTTGCCATTTGACAGGTACTCATGGCTGACGACTCACAATGCATATGCAAGGATGCAAGTGAAATCGGCTACTGGATCAGTCATACTATCTCCCAGGAACCAGCAAGACTCCGTCACTGATCAGCTCAATGTGGGTGATTTCGATCTCTCTTTTCACATCAGAAAAAAATGTTCTTTTTTTCTAGGAAAATGGCAGAAATTAAAACCCATTAAATGTTTTAGCCACCCAATTGAGCTTTTTAAATCATAGTGTTGTTATGTATGTGCGAGTTTAATTGAGGGAGTATGATGCTCAAACGTAAAGCTTTGATTTCGGTGAATTATTATATGCAAAAAACAAATAGTAAAGCTGCAATCTTGGCATGAAAGACTGGAAATGGAATCTTGGTCTCTTTCTTGAGAAGAGCTTTTCTGTGTTATAATACGTTTGTTCTGGTACTGGTGGTGGGTGGGTGTGGGACACGGTGCATGTGGAGATCATCTTTCTAACTTTTATAATAATCCAGAACAACTTGGTTTTCCATCAAGTGCTAATATTTTAATGATGTCATTACGAGGATGTGATTATTAGAGGATTGACCCGGGTGTCAACTTAAACTTTCGGTCCTGTATGATATAATTATAATTGATTATCATATTCTTGCATGCTAGTCCTTATTGAATTCCATGTTTTTGCGTTTGATGAAGCTTCCAAACCCGAAAAACAAAATGAAAGACGAAATCGCTGTTCTTTGCTTATCCGCTGGCTTGTCGAGTTCCTCTCATGCAATTAAGATATGCGGTGGATTGGGCAAATAGCTAGCAGCTTCGAAAAGAATATATTTGACTCTTTACAGTTTCTTCCCTCATTTCCATATTTAGAAGAAGGATTATTATAATTACCTGGTTGTTGATCGATAAAAATGTTGACCAAATTGACAGCCTTTAGTCCTGATGAGCTGTGGTTACCCTTTCACTATTTGAAGGATCCTTCCAAACATGATCATAACTTGGAAGTTCAAGTCGGTCCAAATTAATGACCAGTAGCATTACAGGCCTTCTAAGTCGCGAGTTATTTTCTTACTGTAGTGGCGGCAGTAATTGCCTGGACATGAACTCCTCTTTGTCATTACTTCGCTGCTATATTTCTTAAGTCCTTACAATTTGTATGGACATGATCTGCGTTTATGAGCTGATCATTTGATGATGATATTTCATTCTTTATCTGGAATATGTTACCTATTAGGCTCATACTGGTGTGAATTGCTAAAACTTCCGATTGTTAATGCACTAAAATATCTGCTTTTTCATTTTAACTTTGCAGAATGGCGTTAGGGGACTGATGCTGGATATGTATGACTTCGAAAATGATATCTGGTTATGTCACTCCTTTGGGGGACGTTGCTACAACTATACAGCTTTTGTAAGTTGAATGGACAATTCTGTTGCGCTCTGTATGTTGAGTTTTTAAACAATATCTATACGCACTAATTGATCGTATATTCATAATGTTCTTCTAACACTGCTTTGAATTGTTGAGTTCTTACTCACTCTAGAAGAACAACACTAATTAAGGAATTTTATTTGCCAGCAACCCGCCATTAATGTTCTGAAAGAAGTTCAAACATTTATGGAAGCAAACCCATCCGAGATTGTGACTATTATAATCGAAGACTATGTTTCATCGCCTAGTGGACTGACCAAGGTGTTTGATGCTGCTGGCTTGAGGAAATATTGGTTTCCAGTATCTCGTATGCCTAAAAATGGTGGCGATTGGCCGACAATGGACGATATGGTCCAAAAGAATCAGCGCCTGCTAGTTTTCACTTCAAAATCATCGAAAGAGGCTTCTGAAGGAATTGCATACCAGTGGCGATACATGGTGGAAAACCAGTGTATGTCTCATCAACCTTTCTGTTCAGAAATCTCGTTGAACTTGGAGCTTTCGTATTATGGGTCAATGGTTGACTATTATGTCAATCAATTCTACAGATGGTGATGGAGGGATGAAAGCCGGTGTTTGCCCAAACCGTGCGGAATCACCCGCAATGAACACAACAAGCAGGTCTCTGGTTCTTGTGAACTATTTTCGAGATATGCCAGACTTAACCCAAGCTTGCAAGGACAATTCAGGCCCCTTGATCAGCATGGTTAACACTTGTTATGAAGCAGCCGGCAAACGATGGCCTAACTTCATAGCAGTCGACTTTTACAAGGTTTGGCCGAGTTCTTATTCTCCAAGATATGACCTTTAAGAACAGATGAAGCCCTTGACTTCTAATTATCGTGCATGTGAGAATTTTCAGAGGAGCAATGGCGGGGGAGCCCCGGCGGCAGTAGATATGGCAAATGGTCATCTTATCTGCGGATGTAATAGTATAACCTCTTGCAAGGTCAGTCCATGCCTTCCAGGATTTATTTTTCCGCTTATCCCAACAGGGTTTTCCGAAATCGATCAGATACTTGGCACTGCATATAAATGACTTGTAATTAGCTCTCTGATTATTTAATCGCTGTGTGCGCGCAGGCGAACATGACTCTTGGCGCGTGCGACGTACCAAAGTCCAGAATCGCCCCCATCCCGGCCGCACGCGATACTAGCTTTGCTCATTTAAGTAGTCGATCATATCATCAGTGGCAGTTGGTTGGGACAGTGCTATTAATTCTCTTCTCGGTATGAAGAGAAAATGTAAATCTGTCTTTATGCATTCTTTGATACAGTCGTGATTGAAGAAAACATCCTCACACCAAAATGAAGTGGAGCAGTTTAGAATTAGCTGATGGTGGACATTGGATTTGAAGGGGTCAGAAGCTAATTTTCTTCTATGATCTAAAGTCGAATTGGTTGATCTGACTGTGGGCTTGAAGGCCTTGTCGAACCACATTTTGCGATACCATCACTTCAGAACTGGTTGGAGCATAAATTTTTTATTGTTGTGCTGTGCCCGAATCAACTTGGAGATGGGGTAAGTCTAATATGGAAAATGACACAAATGATCTCTGCATTTTTACCAATGTGCAATGTCATCTTTAAACTTTTAATTTGTTCAATGTGGTCCACCTACTTTTGGTATATATTCAATTTAATGCTTGGACTAGATAATCCATAGACTAGATTGAACACTTACCAAAAGTTCACAACCATATTCAACAAATTAAAAATTCAAGATCAACACTGCATGTCAGGCTAAAATTGAGAGATCATATTGAACAAATTAAAAGCATTGAGTCAAAGTTTAGGGATCATTCGGGTAATTATCTCAAAATAATCAGTTGGGGGTGGGTGAGCTAGTGAAACCATGGAAGAAAATTTGTATTGATTTCAATCGATAGCAAGACACATGCATAAGCATATTTACAAGAGGATCATTGGTTAGTTACAGTTAAGTTCATAGTTGATTTCCCTCGCGAAGACTCTTTTCGCCCCAGACGAGACAATGTTTATGCGAAGCATGAATTTGAACAAAAGCAAGATTCAAGACAAGATGAAATGAACGAGCTTTTATATGAATTTAAGTGGGGGATAAAGATGTTCCAGAGAATGAACAGGACTGCATCGGCAAACACAATCGGAACCATCATTCAATATTGAATAGAGAGACACGAAACTGGCCTTCAAGCAAACCCCAGCTGAATCGCCGGTTTCTTCGCTCTGGCCAAGTTTGAATCATCTTGTGTGCAAAGATGCATTTGCATGATCTCCTCAACTAGATTGCTTGTATATCTGTTCGAACCACGATGCATCTGCAACTCCATTGGCAGATTCAGTTGCCTGCTTATGCTTCACCATTCAAAGTTGTGCACAGACCAAACGGGTCAGTTTATCCTGAGAGATAGAGAGATATGGAGAAAAAGAAGATGAAAAGAGCAAATGAATGAGGTTACTCGAGCAAACTTGAATAGGGAACATGCTTCAGTTCTGATCAGAAGAACTTTGGCCACCGGCTGTGACCTCAATGAGCTTCACAGAGCATATGGCAGAAAATGTTCCGCATTCAGAACGATATTCGGAGAGGTCCGTGTTGGAAGTCACTGGATAAGGTGCAGATGGAAACAAGTCCGAGTTGGCCAGAATAATCGGAAGCCAACGCCTGGTCATGAATGCCTCCCTTGAGACAATGGCTAGGTTTTCCGAAACAGATTTTGGATTGAGATTTGAAGCCTTTGGTGCTTTGTCTTTTCCAGCATTGCAACTCTCTTCTAAGGTTTTGATATACTTGACTGTCCAATTCGCTGTTAGTGCACTTGCCAGCCTGCAGCAACCATTTTCATTAGCTGCGATTTAGTTTTTGTTTTACCCGTGACGAGGGAAGCCACCCTTTAAGTAGGCACATCCCGATACACGGAATATCCCACTAATCTTATAGATAAGATAAGACGTGAGCCAAATCCTAGATGCGTGGCCCAAGCGTGGTATCTTTTGCAGTTTGGCGGCATGAAGAATTGAACCAATACCTTTCGTTTAATCCACCCAAAATTTGTGCCTTAGCCGCTAATAACCCAATCCAGGTGGATCACAAGAATTAGGTTCACGCAAAAGAAATGATTCAAGTGCTACCTGTATATTACGAAGATCACGGTATGGTACTTACGTTAGGACGAAGCTGAGGAACAAGGGAATGGAGTACCTTGTACACGCCATTCACGGTCCAACATCAAATGCATCTCATACCCTGCTTCACTCTCGCCAACCCCTCCCACTATCGTTAGCGTTCTATATGGTCACGGATGGTTCTGTTCTAGCAATATGGATGAAACAGGGTCAGTGTCGTGGGTAGGTTATGGGAAAGCATGCCCTGCATGGCATATTCGCAGAACAAGAAACCAACTGATAGTCAAGTGGATATTGTGGGGCACTGGACACAATGTTTCGATGTGGAATAATGGACTGGCATAAATGAACTAGCTGGACATGAGAGGAAAATTTAGTCCGACGCACAAAAAAACTAGACTAGGAAATAGTTAGGTGCCCTTTTGTTTCAGAAAATCTTCCAACCGAAACTGACATGCTTCCTTGTTTCTCCAGTCTTCTGAAAACCGAAAATAGTTTTCAGTCAAACCAAATCACGAAAAGAAGCTGTTCCAATGTTCTCGTCAATCAGAATATAACATAAAAGCTTTTGCTGGAAATGAGGACGGAAAACTTGTACTGAGCATTCTCTACAGCATGTAATGAAGGATAAGAAAGCAGCTCAATTTCGACCCACATCTCATCGTAAGTGCTCTAAGCTCTAACATAATGGCAGCAATTAAAAAGCATGACGAAATCATGAATGATCAGTCATTGTCTATATACTTTATCTATCAAATGTGAAGTATCCCAATAGTTGAGAAAATGGTTCATGCAGTAAAAATTGTCTCCAAAAATATAGGAGCAAAACTGGGTCCAGACGACATTGTATGTATAACCTTGAGAGTATCATCCACCAAATTATGAATGAAATGACGCTCCGACTGAAAATTCTGGGGTTGCTGCCTCACGAAGCTCCTACCTGTCATATAGGTAAGCCCGTTGTTTTACAGATCGGACAAAGATTCTTACGCATTAACCACTCTTTGATGCAGTCGGCGTGAAATTCATGGCCACAACCCAGTACCCCGAGGTCATCTCCATCAGCATATTCCTCCTGTCATTATAAACATTCAAGCATCAGTAAGGATATAATAGAATGTTTACTTTGAAATAATATAATATCTACCATGTAAAACTTCATGTGCTTTGATATGATCACAATCTTACACTAGCAAAAACTGAAAGAGAAACAAATATATATTTATGAATGCAAGAACCTCAAAATATCTTCGCTAGCTGGAATTAATGGCTTTCAACAGATCATATAATCGGTTTTCGCTAGAATATAAGGGGCGCACATTATGAAAATTAGATGGGACTCTCATATACCTTTGTGAGGCAGAAGCACTTCTACCCCCATAACGGAACAAGTTTAACTATGAAAAGCACTCGACCTTTATATTGTTAGGTTCACAATTCCGCTCCCATTCACTAGACCTAGAGAAGTAAAGCTCTCACCTGACAAATACAGCATGGCTCCACATCCTGCGGGAGCTCTCCAGCAACAGATACATTCTTCTTTTGCCGCTTCAAGCCCTTCAAAATTGTTTCCTCACTCAGCCCAGTGCTAACATCTCCTATGCGTTCTTCGAGTGCTAACAATTCCTGAAAAAACAAGCAGATATAGCAAAACAAGCCTTTTGAACTTGCAGCATGTCCAGGAAAACAATGGATGATCGTTAGTTGTTACCTCATAAGACATGTTATCAACGTCTAGGCGCATATCTCGATGTCTGTCGTGCATCTCGCCGAAACCATTATTTAAGAAGGGCTGAAAAATCATGTAATCCTGATTGACACAGCAATAATTAAAATAAAACAAAAGTAGCAGATATTATCCTAGATTTTTAAATATTTCAGAGACCTTTCTTATCACTTGCAAAGGGTCCGATCAGCTCTTGCTAGTCGACACACATAGTTATAAGTAAAACCAAACAGAAGTTTACAAGTTACGTTATCCACTAATTGCTGAACCAAACAATAACTAAAGAACACTACATCTTTATATTCAGCCAGAGCAGACAACTAGAGATGACCTACAACTGATAGGCAACAATTCAATGCAGATCACGTGAATCCTAACATATCTTATATAGGTAAGGAAAAATTCACCTATGAAGGGGGTGCAAACCCTTATACAGAAAGATCTCAAGGAAATATGTTCAAATCCCCAAATCAGCTACCGACATCACATTAGGAGGTACGCAGCAATATACTGGGACTAAAAACGAACTTCCCAGATTAAACTAACCCAATAGTATCACACGTGAGGTAGGTAGAAAATTCACATTAGGAGGTATAATGCAATGTACTGGGACTACAACAAATTTCCAAGATTAAACTAACCCAATAGTTACACACGAGAGGTAAGGTAGAATTTTCAGGTAAAGCTAGTTACTAATATCCTAAAATTAAAAATATAAAAACTCAAAGCAAGCAATCCTGTTGATAGTGTCATTTTTCTTGCAAAGTTACTAAACAGTAACCAACAGAGTTTCACTGACTCTGCCCTGAACTGCAAGTGCAACCATCACAAGGACAAGAGAGTGCTTTATGACTAAGAAAGAATGCTTTGACACAGCATAGTTCATCACAAAGGACAATGAGCCAGATATAATCCAGGACGATTCCACTAATGAATAACTATAACTACATAATCATGAAACAAATGAGACATAAAAACCGAACCTCAGCTCGAACACGTTCTCCCCTTTGCATGGCCTCTAAAACTTGAAGAATCTGCGAATGAAAAAATCGCTATTATAAATCCATATGACCCAATTTTCAACTAACCATATGCAAACCACATAAGAGAGATAAAAATTTAATAATTAAGATAAGTACAGTGATGCACACACTATTTCACACATATATCTGCATGTTCTAGAGCACTTAGTAATCTCGTAAACTAGTTTGATGCTGATCTCGTATTGCATCAATAGTCTACATGGTTGCTCAACAAAGGATCTGATACAACTGAAGACCTCCAAAGTAGTACCCTACAACTCTAGAGCATAATGCCATCAATGGTTAATACCATAAAAGCAGTTAATGATACCTAAGATTCAACAGAGCAAAAAAACAAGAGCTACCAATCACAGTGAGTTCAATACTTTCAGATACTAATAATGAAATCAAGTATAGCATCAAAATTTATCTTGTAAATACAGTAATCACTAGATGAAACTATCTATAATTGCAAAATTCAGATAGAGATAAAATCATAGTTTTGAATAGATCTTGTATGTCATTACTCCAACGTCACACAATCTCGTATACAGACAAGAGTGCCAAACTACAACAAACTACACGGACTTTCCATATAAGAGGGCATTACACGAGTTATGAGGAGCGTCACAAAAACAAGCCCCTATTCATAATTAACAAAGAATGTTGAACATTGACTCGCATTAGTTAGTCCATCAGATGTGGCAGTGTTGCCATATATAAAGGGAACTCACAGAAGGTAAGGTCATAAGAATAATATTCTAAGTTTTTAAGATAAAATATCATATCCAGCTGGACAAACTCGATTTGAGAGACATGATGGAATGTTCAAAAAGCATAATCAGATAGGCCAACAGAAATCAAATCAGCAAGAAAAGGAAGTCCACAGGCAAGAGCTAAGGCTTTTCACATAAGAGGTATCACATAAGTTATAAGGAATGTCACATAAATAAGCACTGATGGAGATAACGATACATTGGCTCTCATGGATGAGTCCATTAAATGCAGTGATGTTGTCATATATAGCGGAAACACACAAAAGATAAGTGTATAGGAATAAAGTTCCGAGTTTTAAAGAAATTCTAACTTATATAGCAGGTAAATATTCGCACGGATATCTGATGGAGTGTTGGGAAAGTTTTATAAGTCTAGACAAGCTGGCAAAAAGTGCAATCAGCAAGAAAAGAAAGTCAACAATTAGTGACCGATATTCTCTTAACTCAGGATTAAGGAAAATTACTCATCCACAATTAAAGCATTGTTTTAAAAACTTGACAGAACCATTTTTTCATTCGGTTCTCAAACCGGTCTACGTGTGAGGGGGAGTGTCAGAATATTTAAATATTAAATCACGTCTTCATCTAACAGCTTAAACTTTTGGGTTGGACTTTCTAACGATATTTAATAACAAACTGCCTTAACCCAGACCAAACCTGTGTTGCCCGTGTTCAACCGGTCAAACTGAATAGTAAACCCAAATGAGCCCAAGTAGTGGTGATGATTCATACCAAGGGCCTTGTAGTCCCAAGGTGGCTCACCTTACGTAAGCTGAGCACCAAGACTCGCTGATTTTGCCACGATAACGACAATAATCTATTATTAGCTAACGGACAATAAAAAAGTTGTGCATTGGTGTCGGTGGGGTTGGAACTCGGGACTTCATAGTCCCTGCGCACATTGTAAAAGAGCGCTTACCACCAAGCCAAGCTGTCCTCTCTGTGAACCAAAAACAAAAATATCCTACTTAGACTATGAAACTGATGTGGATTTCCAAGCAATTGGTATAAGAGGTCACGTGGGTTTGGTTTCGAAAAATTTAACTAGATTACAAGACTCCACTGGCTCTGTAGCCAAGGAAGAAGACAAGATCAAATCACCTTGGTACGGAGCCTGAGCTTCTACTTATGGTAAATTCAGATCTATATGATGCCACTATCCAGTATGTGTATGCATACATTTGCAATGAAGTCCTTGAGTATTTACTTGTATAAGTTCCGGAATTTGAAATAGTCATACAAATTGGATACCTTAGTAGGAAAATGCGTACATACATGCTAGTTGCCCACATCATCGTCTAAAGGAAACTGCTACTGTAAGAATAATGATAGTATCCGTTAAAGTGTGTGACTAGACTATGTGAGTCTACGTATAAAAGTCTGACGGTAAAGCAATGAAATGATGATTTTGTAAAAGGTTTCTCACGTGAATAAAACTGCAAAGACAAAAGATAGTCATTGCTAGAAAGAATAACCGGATTTGGAATGGATGCTGCACATCCACATGAACATCAAGCAAACTCGGTACAACGATACCTCTCTGTAATATATTTAAAATGAAATTCAATATATCATATACTTAACTAGTATGACATCTTCAAAATCCTACCAATTTCTTCTAATTGAACATGTGTTCCTTCACTAAACACTGAAGAAGCCACATAATGACGGTTCAAGGGTGCTCATACTCATATGTATCATGTATGCATAAAGGTGGAACATTCGAGTTAAATTAGTAAAGATGAATGCAATAACTGCATCATCTTTGCATTCCGGTAGATAATTAATTCCTATATATTCGATATAACCGCATCATTTCAGAATAGAATTGTATTTTCACAGAATATGACAAGACGCTGTTTTCTAACTATTCTATCATGACAATGCCTATCTCAATAGGAATATTAGAACCTTACTCTTATTTTTTTACCAGATTCAAGTCAAATATAAATTCAAGCATAGAATACTGTACTAAATTTCTCTAAATTTATGGAAATAATGTATACTTTTATTTCAAGCAATTGAACTTGGGTGTTCTAATCAACCTCA